CATTTTGACTTCTATGACATCATTTATGGGTGTGGAAAAGCAAGGGATTTAAAACAACTTGATCAGATTTATTATAAAGCTTCTCTAATCTGTTCTGGTGCTATATTTGGTACATCATCCACCAAAGTGCTCAGAAGTTTAAACTGGAATTCTCTTGAAATAAAGAGAAAGGTTCACAGAATGTCATTGATGTTTAAAGTTCAGGCAAATCTAGCGCCTGGGTATGTCTCAGAAATGTTCACTAAATTTCGCAGACCTGCCATTAGAGAAGGTCTAAGATACACCCCAATGTATCAACTTCCGGTCAAAAGATCAAATACTTTGAACAAATCATGTATAATTTCAATTTTAAATGAATGGAATGCTCTCCAACCTGAAATAAAGCAAAAAGAAAATGTTAAATTATTTAAAAAAGCTTTCCTCGAAGAAATTGCTCCACCTAAAGTATTCTTAGCATCTGACCTCCATATAACAAGGCATCAAGAAATAATTTTAAATAGAGTCAGATCAGACCTTATTTTCCAAGCACATCTTCACGCCCACAATTTTACAAATGTACAAAGTCCTACATGTTATTGCAACCAAGATAATGAAACCACACACCATGTGATTTTCAATTGTCCCCTCAGGAAACCATTTTTAGTAGACTTTGAAGCACAACTCTGCCAACTAAATTTTGGATACTTTAATACATTTAAAACTAAAATGGAAAAATTACAATTATTCTTATATGGTACTCCATCACTTACCAGACGTTTGAATATCAAAATACTCAGTCTCAGTGCAATATTTCTTGAAAAGTGTGCAGCCATCACCCAGGCCCCTGTTGAGTGAACTTTAAAGATGTTACCTTGATTATAAGGTTTTATATATTGTATTCATACTTGGCTAATAATGCTCTTTGAGCCTAGCCAAATTGTATTGTATTGTATTAACTATTGCTTTTTGTGTAAATAAAATAAACTATAAATAAAAAAAAAAAAAAAAAATATCAAATAGGGAGCTCCAAAGAATAAAACATCCAATCATTTCAAGATGAGGTGATCAACATTTATATTTGAGGGCAAGTCAACAAATATTACTGTTTTGAGGTCATAAATCTATATTGATCTTTCCCCAAGGCTAGTACAAATTAATTTTTGAATCGTTTGTCAAATGTCCATAAAGTCTCTTTACAATAACAGTACAAAGTCTATGTGAATGTAGAGACTTCACCGACACTCTGTATGTATATTAAATACCAAAAGTCCAAAAATTTCTCAAGGGGCCACAGGACTCATTACAGCCTCAAGAATTGTCTCAATCATCTACACATTGGATCCTTTGCAGCTTTCTCGAAGCTCTGCACCAGACTGTATGATTAACAAGAACATACATTTGAATTATCCATTACAATTGTCTAAAATGTGTCCAATGCATCACGAAAGGAGTTCACTGAATACATGGAGTCTAAAATGTTCCCAATGCATCACGAAAGGAGTTCACTGAATACATGGAGTCTAAAATGTTCCCAATGCATCACGAAAGGAGTTCACTGAATACATGGAGTCTAAAATGTTCCCAATGCATCACGAAAGGAGTTCACTGAATACATGGAGTCTAAAATGTTCCCAATGCATCACAAAAAGTGGTTCACTGAATACATGGAGTCTAAAATGTTCCCAATGCATCACGAAATGAGTTCACTGAATACATGGAGTCTAAAATGTTCCCAAATGCAGCACAAAAGGAGTTCACTGAATACATGGAGTCTAAAATGTTCCCAATGCATCACAAAAAGTGGTTCACTGAATACATGGAGTCTAAAATGTTCCCAATGCATCACGAAAGGAGTTCACTGAATACATGGAGTCTAAAATGTTCCCAATGCATCACGAAAGGAGTTCACTGAAGCAGTGAAGCATGTGCTTTCTGATGTTTCTTCTTAATAGAAAATGGCACAAGCTTCATGCAAATTTTACAAACTAAATCTTTAGTCTGGTGAAATATAACGCCCCCATTGGTCTGGAAAAGCTTGAAGCAGATTCTACATTGGTGAGGCTTCACTCCAGTATGCTTTAAACCATGTTGGAGAAGATCTGTCAAGGATTCCGCATCGAGGCGTGAGTTGCACACATCACAGTATTTATTATGTACGACCATAGTATGGGAATCATAACACGCCTTGGATGGAAAATCAATCTCGCAACATGTGTATGATGTCTCATCTTGTGAAAATATTTCAGGACCTGGGATGTTGGTATCTGTAGCTGGTTTATTCTTGCGTTTACTACTTGTCATGTGTCCATATGTTTCAGGTCTTTGTTGGTATCCGTCGACGTAAATGCCTGAATATAAGAAATATATCAAATTAAAAATTGCATGTAAATCCACTGTAACAATGTCATGGCACACATAAACATTGTTATTTTATAAAATTGAACATTAAAAATTGCAGTTTCTCATGATTTAGTGTCTCTCTGCTTGATTATACACCCCACTAATTGAACGAGGCATACATTATTTGGATAATAAGTTATATAATATGAAACACACTATTCTTCATATATAGTACTATTATAACATACATTCACACCAGATATGATATAGCTTTCTGTCCAAAATGAATTTCTAAATTAATGATGTAAAAAAATGATGCTCTATCAAGTAGACAGTTCTCGGTTTATATTTTGGTCTAAAGGCTCCCATACATTTTGCAAAATACTGTTGCATTTAGGGAAATGTGTCTACCTAAATAAGTGATGCATCAAGGGAGCTTCCTCACAACTTGTTGCTAAAATGTTGTCTCGCATGCTTTGACCTATGTGAAAATGATACAACTTTATCACACATGATGCAAAGCACATCCTTTGTCATATGAAGCTGCAACCCTGTGGCACTCTGGAACACCCTGTAGCAGTGTTTACACTGGAATGGCTTGACACCCTTGTGCTTCAGGCCATGTCTCAATATATCAGTCTCAGAGTCCAGTCTGGATTTACAGATCTCACAATATCCATTATGTACAACCATTGTGTGTGAATCAAAGCAGGCCTTTGAGGGAAATTCTATATCACAACATTTATATTCTGAACTATCCTGTACAAACATATCTCCAGTTTGATCCAAATGTTGACCTTTGTGCAGTTGGTGGTGTTGTTGATTGTTTCTTGGTCCCTGTAGACTGGATTGGTTACCATAGTAACCTTGGTAGGCAGGTGTACATCCTGAATAAAACAAATACAAGTTCCTTATTTGAATGATGTTTGAAAATTGTATGAAGTCCTGTTTAAATGTGGAGGATTTCAAGCATGTGAAATCTATATCATGAAGTGGTCAAAATTAGATAATCATCAGTATCAAACAAGACAAGACCAGACTTAAGAGTGACCACAGGTGAAACTGATGCACTCCAAGCATATACTGATGCACTCCAAGCATATACTGATGTACTCCAAGCATATACTGATGTACTCCAAGCATATACTGATGCACTCCAAGCATATACTGATGTACTCCAAGGATATACTGATGTACTCCAAGCATTGATGCACTCCAAGAATATACTGATGTACTCCAAGCATATACTGATGCACTCAAAGCATATACTGATGCACTCAAAGCATATACTGATGCACTCCTAGCATATTCTAATGCACTCAAAGCATATACTGATGTACTCCAAGCATATACTGATATACTCCAATTATATACTAATGCACCCAAAGCATATACTGATACACTCCAAGCATATACTAATGCACTCAAAGCATATACTGATGTACTCTTAGCATATACTGATATACTCCAAGCATATACTAATGCACCCAAAGCATATACTGATACACTCCAAGCATATACTGATACACTCCAAGCATATACTGATACACTCCAAGCATATACTCATGCACTCTTAGCGTATACTGATGTACTCCAAGCATATACTAATGCACCAAAAGCATATACTGATACACTCCAAGCATATACTGATACACTCCAAGCATATACTGATACACTCCAAGCATATACTGATGCACTCAAAACATATACTGATGTACTCCAAGCATATACTAATGCACTCAAAACATATACTAATGCACTCAAAGCATATACTGATGCACTCCCAGCATAAACTTTGCACTCCCAACATATACTGATGCACTCAAAACATATACTGATGAACTCCAAGCATATATGTGTACTCTAAGCATATACTAATGTACTCCAAGCATATACTAATGCACTCAAAGCATATACTGATACACTCCAAGCATAAACTGTGCACTCCAAGCATATACTGATATACTCCAAGCATATACTAATGCACTCCAAGCATATACTGATACACTCCAAGCATATACTGATACACTCCAAGCACCTATTGATGCACTCAAGCATATACTAATACACTCCAAGTACATACCGATGCACTCAAAGCATACACAGATATACTCCAAGCATATACTGATGCACTCCTAGCATATATTGATGCACTCCAAGCATAAACTGTGCACTCCAAGCATATACTGATGCACTCAAGAATATACCGATGCACTCAAAACATATACTAATGCACTCAAAACATATACTAATGCACTCAAAGCATATACTGATGCACTCCCAGCATAAACTTTGCACTCCCAACATATACTGATGCACTCAAAACATATAAAAGATGCACTCGAAGCATAAACTGTGTACTCCAAGCATATACTAATGCACCCAAAGCATATATTGATGCACTCAAAGCATACACTGATGCACTCCAAGCATATACTGATGCACTCTAAGCATAAACTGTGCACTCCAAGCATATGCTGATGCACTTCAAGCATATATCTCTCGGATCTGCCACAGACATAATTTATATGATGAATATATAATAAAGCAATGATGTTGCTTAAAGTTAAATCTGTGTTTCTCTTTGTTTGCTGTTGTAAGTAAGTTCAATATAAAGTTTATTTTAATAAAGTAGTTTAAATGTAGTTTATTAGTTTTATAAACAAAGAATATCTTGAGAACAGAACACTTTACTGAATCAGCTCAGATGTGCTCAAAATATGTGAGCCCTTTAAACTATACAGACATCAGCAAGGCATACACAAAATATGTGAGCCCTTTAAACTATACAGACATCAGCAAGGCATACACAAAATATGTGAGCCCTTTAAACTATACAGACATCAGCAAGGCATACACAAAATATGTGAGCCCTTTAAACTATACAGACATCAGCAAGGCATACACAAAATATGTGAGCCCTTTAAACTATACAGACATCAGCAAGGCATACACAAAATATGTGAGCCCTTTAAACTATACAGACATCAGCAAGGCATACACAAAATATGTGAGCCCTTTAAACTATACAGACATCAGAAAGGCATACACAAAATATGTGAGCCCTTTAAACTATACAGACATCAGCAAGGCATACACAAAATATGTGAGCCCTTTAAACTATACAGACATCAGCAAGGCATACACAAAATATGTGAGCCCTTTAAACTATACAGACATCAGCAAGGCATACACAAAATATGTGAGCCCTTTAAACTATACAGACATCAGCAAGGCATACACAAAATATGTGAGCCCTTTAAACTACAGACATCAGCAAGGCATACAAATATTACATTGTTTCTATTTTGACAAAATTGATGTGAAGTTTTGTCAGCTATATTTAATGTTGGTGTCCGGCCTTTAATGCTGGTGTCAGGTGAATCTAATTCATTGCTGATGTCAGTTACAGAAAATATCCATATCAAGTTTATCCAGTACATTTTTATTTTTTAGCTGACTTCACACAAATGTGCCTGCGTCTGTTTGTAAATGACACCAGCTTGTTGCACATTTTGCACATGACATCAGGGGTCATGTGTGTCTTCAGGCCTGAATTTGACCCTAGTAGTTTATAACAGAACTGACACTGGTAGGCTTTAACTCCTTTATGAAGGAGACCATGGTTGGCTGCATCTTTGTCGCTGTCAATCCTACTATTGCAGACCTCACAGAAGCGGTTATGGACAACCATAGTGTGGTGTTCCATACAGGCTTTAGATGGGAAATCCAGTCCACAACATGTATTAATTGAGGTATCCAGGGTGAATATGTCCCCTTCGTCTCCAGGTATCTTTGCAGCCAACCCAAGGAGATTCTTTGGCCTGGACATATTTGCTGGCCAAGACGGTCCTTGTTCTGTTGGCATGTTTGCTGGTCCAGGCTGCATGTTTGCTGGTCCAGGCTGCATGTTTGCTGGTCCAAGTAGCAAGTTTGTTGGGCCAAGCTGCATATTTGCTGGCTGGGATGGATATTCTGGGTCTGTGAAGTTGATATTCAAACCTGTGCAAGAAAAAGATATTGTCAGAAAAATAGTTTATCTAATTCAAATAAGATTAGTAGTTACAACTCATAACTGAAAGTCGGTATTATGCATATGCACTATGAAACTAAACACAATCACTGGATCAAAGGTGTAGTCGTGGAAAATGCTATATGCTAAATACAAAGTAGTTCTATAGGTTTATGTAAGTTTTATTCAAACATCTAGAATATACATATCTGACAAGACTGAATAACAATCTATTAAGCCTCAAAGAGAACAAAAATATTAAGACATTTCAATAAACAAGTCAATCGAAGATTATTAGTCAAGTAATTTGGCATAAAAAAGTTTACAACATAAACCACCTTAATTCTGAGTTCTTTCCACATAATGAGATTTCTCATGAAATCATTCCGCATATATCTGTTTTGATGTTACATGTTAGATGATATATGCTATGTAAAACCTCAATTCAATAAGCATTGTATCTAACACCCAGTCCATATACTTGATGCCAATATACACTTACATTTAACAGGGGTTTCACTAGAATTTCCCACAAAAGGCTAAATCAATGAAAACAGGCAAAATTAATGGAAACAACAGCAACGCGTAGCAAATCCCATTGAACAGCCATGGCTGGCATTTTTACAAACGGAGTATTTAACAAAAATTGTAAAACAGTATATAATAAATAGCCACCACATAGCAACAAAATAGCATACACGTACATGTAAATGGCAGCCATTTTTTAAAATGGCCACCTACTTGCCAAAATGTCATAAGACACTGTGGCATGCTTATGAGTATTCAAATATGAACAAAATCGCTCTATTAGCTTTTGAGTTATAGTAAAAAAAGTAAAATAACTCACGTAAGATTAGAGGCCATTTTTCAAAATGGCCGCCTACTACCCAAAGTATCATTAGACAGTGTGCCATGCTCATAGTATTCACATACCCAATATGAACAAAATCGCTCCACTACTTTTCGAGTTACAGCAAAAAATCGCAAAATAGCGTGGAAAGGCCGCCATTTTTCAAGATGGCTGCCATGTGCTTCTTTAATATCTACATTTCTAGCTTTATTAATGTTCTATATATCTTTTTACATTTAAAACATATTACTTTTACAGTTTCACATATTTTACCTAAATTACTGTAAAATCTGCACTAAAATGGCCGCCATTTTGAAAGGAGTGGCCATTTTGAAAATCGGCTTTCGAGCAGAACTTCTACCCCCATAGAGCATATGTGTACAAAATATGAACAAAATCGGGCAAACGGTATTTGAGTTATCGCCCAGACAGACGGACGGATGGAGGCGTTCCCTATATCCCTCCGAACATCTAACATGGAAAAGTTGAAAAGTCCCTAAAAACAAGGGGATTTGGTGAAAACAACCTTTGAAAATCGCCTGTAAGTCCTGCTGCTAATGAAACCCCTGATTTAATGTAGCTAACTGTAGGTATGACCATAAACATAAGCTAAACACTATATTCTCCGTTTCGTGGACTAAAAATTGTATCCAGGATGTAAATTGTAGTATGCAGTCTTGTTAACATTGAGCAGTGAGGATATAAGTTTTAGTCAACCTCTTCATCAGTCAATTCATGTGATATTGAATCTATTGTATTTTAGACTGCAATTTCCAACAGAATATTGTACTTTATATTGATCCTAGTACTCTTAAAATAACAAAATCCCTAATGTTATTATTGTACTTAGATAAGGTTCTGTCCTTGGTGGAGTTTCAAATGCTGTAACTTTTTAGAATAACATATTTTCTTGCAGCATATACCACAAATGAGATCCCTGGTTTGGTGTAGTCTTAATCCACTCTTTGAACCCATTAACTTATAACAGAATTCACACTGGAAAGGTTTCTCTCCAGTATGGATCTTTCCATGATTTGATGAGTCAATCTCATGGTCGATCCGAGATGAGCAGACCTCGCAGTATTTATCATGTACAACTGTTTTGTGATAATCAAAGCAGGCCTTTGCTGGAAACTTATTCCCACAGCATTCATATTTTGTCTCATCTTCCTTGATAAAGCCAGCTGATAGTGTACTGGAATTCATGGCAGAACTTGTGGTTGGAGTCCTGGTATTTTTATCCATGGTTGGGTTAGGACTATACACTGCTGATGTAGTCAAGTTGACATGTTGGTCAGTTCCATAATATTGTGCCTTTCCAAAACCACCTGGATATAGAATAGAAATACACACCTGGATTAATCAGAAATTTTAAGAGAAATTATTCAGTGTCCCATAATTCAGTTAGTATGAGGGGTGATATCACCAGTTAGCACTCTGAGTCTGATTTGAATTGCATTAATCACTTAAGATTTGCACCAATCACTTTCAGACTTTCACTGTCTACTTTTACAAAATCAGCATTATATTTCATGAGATGACTGATATTTTACTACCCTATTACAACTGCAACACCACTCGCAAATTTTGATCAATTTTTCCATTTATATATTTAAAGATCAAAACAAATATATAAAATGTCTTATTTGTGTCTTTTAAAATTAATACTTGAACTAATTAAGCCCATGCTTTAACAAATGATATACTAATTGAACATTTTATGTATAGTTGTTTGGAATTTTTTCACCAACATGTTATCTTATATATGTCAAGCAACTAACTTTTCATGCTATAATGTCTGCTGTATTTTCCCTATGCTATGTATTGTATTCTGCACATTCATCTTATATTGTAGCCATGACTCAAATGTTTCACATCAGTCATGACTCAAATGTTTCACATCAGTCATGACTCAAATGTTTCACATCAGTCATGACTCAAATGTTTCACATCATATTGCATACTTGTCATCCATGTTGTCCACTTAAATGTACCTACTATACAGGTACTCATACTGAAAGCATCCAAAATTGTTATATTCGTGATAATCTTAACTGACCAATCAGAATGCACACTTGTGACGTCTCTTATTTGAGAAGCACAACTGTTTCAAACAAATCTGGCAGACAATGTCTCTTGACTGATGAAGCTTCAATCCACTTGCAGTCATTAACAGCTTATGACAAAATCCACACTGGAGAGGCTTCTCCCCAGTATGGAGTAATCCATGTTTGGCTGGATCTGTATCATGGTCAATCCTACTGTTGCAATTCTCACAGAATTTCTTATGTACAATCATATCGTGGTGCTCCATGCAAGCCTTTGAGGGAAATTCTGTAGTACAGCATATAAACTGAGTCATGTCCTCCACAAATTGAGTCTGCCCTTCTACACTGTAGATGCTTGGTTTATTTAGTTTTCTCCTGCCAGGAGTGCAACCTGCATATATAAAAGCATATAGATTGGTTTACTAAAATATCAACTAATTTATTAACTTTTAACATACATGTAAAATATGGACATCAATACATAAATTATCAAACTTGAACTGAATCTGTGGCCCCCGATTGTCACATCCACAAATCAAGAGGACATATAAATGGAATCTGTTAATTTGAAACAAGTCTGCATGACATTTATATCCACCAATCAGATGTTAGTATATAAAATGAAGATGACTAAACAGGAATGAATAACACTATTTGCGAAATTGAACAAAATACATCAAAATGCACATTATCAGGATATCACAGAAACTGATTTAAAATGAAGTCAGTATTTAGAAAAGCAGCTCTACATGTGCATCTTGATCCAATAATGTATTACATATGACTGAAGGAATACACTGGTTTAAAGGTATTTGTATACATGTGCACCATCACTCATTCTCTTGTTTTACTTTATTCTCATTAAGTTCCAGTTCGGACTTCAATTCAATGAATCTAAATATACAAGGTTCATTCTCGTGTTCCTTTAAAGCTGAATTACCACGGAAACGCTTCTTGCAATATTTACAATACAAAAGTGGGTACTTAATGCGGCAATATGTTTTTTCATGCTTTGTTAATGCGGATTCGCTACGAAATGCCTGACCACAAAATGAACATGAAAGTGTTTTCTGTCCTTTAATTTTACCACATGTATGGGCTTTTAAGGAATGATTCTGTCTGAATGATGAATTGCACCACTGACATGTAAACATCTTTTTAAAACTATATGGCTCATCATGTTTGGGGGAACCTCCATCGTTAAGTGTCCAAGCATATTTAGCAGCCCCCTCTTGGCTAAAAGGATCAAGATTATGACCCATATATCCAATTTTGTCAACAGTTTCGACTTCAAGTCCAGGTTCTGTCTTAATTTTGACATTCCCAATTTCTTCAATCTGATTGAGATGGTATTGTCCTGGAAAGATAAAATATGGAATTATTCATTTACATATCATTGTGTTCACTTATTAATAATATTAGTAAAATATTCTCTTTATTGCGAACATAAAATGTATGCAGACTTTTTAAAATGAGATCCTAGACTGTGTAAACATTAAAACCAGTCTAGGTAGCCAGCTCAAACGTGGGCTTTGTAAATGAAAGCCCAATTGGATCAAAGTAGAAAGTAAATTGATCTCATCTTACTGTCTTATAGTTTTTTATGAAGCTTTAATTATTTAAAGTGGGTCTTATAGCATTATTTGCATGTGGCATCTAAATGATCAGTCCCTCTTTATCAGACACTTAGCAGTTTAAGAAGTCAAGGACCAATGAGTTAAAATCATTCAATCATTTAATGTGGGTAAGAAATGACAAGCTTTATTTCAATAACATTCAATACAGCAGTAAGTTAAATGGCATTTAACCAATAAGAGAAAAAATAGATATCTGTATTGCCTATTTCAATGATAATCATCTGTTTTTCTAGATGACTTATAAGCATATTCAATCTTGGCACTCAATAGGACTAGGTCGTAATATCATATTCAATCTTGGCACTCAATAGGACTAGGTCGTAATATCATATTCAATCTTGGCACTCAATAGGACTAGGTCGTAATATCATATTCAATCTTGGCACTCAATATGACTAGGTCATAATATCATATTCAATCATGGCACTCAATATGATTAGGTCGTAATATCAATGAAGTGCCTTATCACAATATCAATTCATTTCTACAACTGACCTGTTGTGCCAATCTTTTATGTCTAAGATCCTGGTAGATTAAACCATAGTGTACAAATGCGAGCAGCGTATCACTGAATATATTCACTATGTCAGATGATAAGTCCCTCTGACTGAATCCAGCCAGCTGCAGGGCATAATCCAAAACACTATTTTTTGTCTTTCTGTTTTATTTTATTGACTACTCCAGACTTAGGCTTAATGCATCTTAGTGGACAGGTTTCCTTTTCATGATATGCCAAAAGTGTTTTATCAAAAAGCCGTTTCGCACAAAATTGAATGAACTTTCTCTGTAGGAACATTCTGTGTAGAGACTTTCTGTGTAGGAACTGATTCATATTTATTAGCCTCTTTAGGAATTAATGCCCCTTCAGAAGAATATTTGAGGTTAGATCCTTCATGTTTTGGAGATGATTTCATAAGCACCCCTTCATTTTTAGGTGTCTTTCTATACTTGGCTGGCTCTTCTGCCCTTGGGTAAAGGTTATTGCCAACATTCACTAGCACATCAGCAGTTTCTGCCCTTCATTTTTAGGTGTCTCTCTATACTTGGCTGGCCCTTCTGCCCTTGGGTAAAGGTTATTGCCAACATTCACTAGCACATCAGCAGTTTCTGCCCTTCATTTTTAGGTGTCTATACTTGGCTGACCCTTCTGCCCTTGGGTAAAGGTTATTGCCAACATTCACTAGCACATCAGCAGTTTCTGCCCTTCATTTTTAGGTGTCTATACTTGGCTGGCCCTTCTGCCCTTGGGTAAAGGTTATTGCCAACATTCACTAGCACATCAGCAGTTTCTGCCCTTCATTTTTAGGTGTCTATACCTGGCTGGCCCTTCTGCCCTTGGGTAAAGGTTATTGCCAACATTCACTAGCACATCAGCAGTTTCTGCCCTTCATTTTTAGGTGTCTATACTTGGCTGGCCCTTCTGCCCTTGGGTAAAGGTTACTGCCAACATTCACTAGCACATCAGCAGTTTCTGCCCTTCATTTTTAGGTGTCTATACTTGGCTGGCCCTTCTGCCCTTGGGTAAAGGTTATTGCCAACATTCACTAGCACATCAGCAGTTTCTGCCCTTCATTTTTAGGTGTCTATACTTGGCTGGCCCTTCTGCCCTTGGGTAAAGGTTATTACCAACATTCACTAGCACATCAGCAGTTTCTGCCCTTCATTTTTAGGTGCCTCTCTATACTTGGCTGGCCCTTCTGCCCTTGGGTAAAGGTTATTGCCAACATTCACTAGCACATCAGCAGTTTCTGCCCTTCATTTTTAGGTGTCTATACTTGGCTGGCCCTTCTGCCCTTGGGTAAAGGTTATTACCAACATTCACTAGCACATCAGCAGTTTCTGCCATAATCAATGGTTCTCTCTTAATTTTGACATTTCTGATTCCTTTTTTTTATTTTTATTTTATTTATTAAAATCATATTAACATATTTACATAAGAATGATAAAGACACAGAATTGGGTGATATTGTCCTGACAAGATAAAATTATGTTATTGATATTGTTAGTAATACTCAAGTTACATAAACCAATCAAAGTTAGAATATATTTACCAGTTTTATCAATTCACATGAACATTCAGTATAGGTAAACTGGTCAAATTGTATACCTGCACTGTCAACTACGACTTCTCTTGCGTGTAATTCACCCCAAATCAGTCGAAATAAGGCAAGATGATTAATAATTAAAAAATATTTTCAAAACTTGTGTGGTGCCTCAAATATAAGTCAATATTTTGACTTGACCAATGATCCAGAGATTGAGCGCTTCAATGAGTTCTACCTCAAATAATAAATTTGGTTTAAGTAGGGATGAAAATATGTAAGCACCCTAAAATTCAAGAATTCATATCTACTGTTATCTTACATCATTGCCTATTAGGAACTTATGATCTTTGCATTACTTTGACCTGTTCACTTCAAAGACTTTACATCAACTAATCCTATTCAGGTACAGTGGTACACTGTGGTATACTTGCATTTTATCCATGCCTATTAATTATGATTTTTGCATTACTTTGACCTGTTCACTTCAAAGACTTTACATCAACTAATCCTATTCAGGTACAGTGGTACACTTGCATTTTACTTTTCTTTCTATTCTTCGGTTTGTTTAACTTCAGAATTGTTTACAAGAATATACAAC